CAATATACTCTGTTTTAGTTGTAGAGAGTGCAACACACTTCTGCAACTTCGATTGTCATGATATAGCTCCTCCTGAAAAAGTGAACAGGTATCCTATAGTAGATTTATGATTATCAAGATCACCTGCCATATCAGCATTTGTGTAGCCCTTCAAGACTGGATCTGATCTCCCAAAACACAAGCATTCATCTGAGGTTCCTTTTAGATACCTAAGTATCCACTGCACAGCTTCCCAATGTTCTTTTCCAGGATTATCAAGAAACCTGCTAACAGTAGTGACAACATGAGCAATATCAGGTCTGGTACATACCATTGCATATATCAGGCTCCCGACGACAGATGAATATGAAACTTTAGCCATACTTTCTTTATCTTCCTTTGTTGTAGGACACATTGTCTTGCTCAACTTCATATGAACAGCAAGAGGCCTGCTAACTGGTTTAGCACTCATCATATAAAAGCGTTTAAGTATATGTTCAACATACTTATGTTGTGACATCAACAACTTACTATTTGTCCTATCTCGGACAATCTTCATTCCAAGAATTTGTCGTGCTGGACCCAAGTATTTCATGTCAAATGACTTGGACAAATCTTCCTTCAACTTGGCAATCAACTTCTTGTTTTGTCCTACAATCAACATATCATCCACATATAGCAACAAGATGATAAAGTTATTGTTAGAGAATTTCTTATACTACACACATGGATTTGAAAAAGTCTTTGTGTACGTTTGACTTCTCATGAATGAGTCAAACTTTTTGTACCACTGCATAGGCGCTTGTTTCAGCCCGTAAAGGCTCTTTTTCAACTTGCAGACCATGTGTTTCTTCGCCTTTACTTCAAAACCTTCTGGCTGCTCTATATAGATCTCTTCTTCCAAATCTCCATGTAGAAATGCAGTTTTCACGTCCAACTGCTCCACTTCAAGATCTACGCTAGTTGCCAAGCTCAAGATTGTTCGAATAGAAGTCATTTTGACAACAGGTGAGAAAATTTCATCAAAAGCAATACCTTTCTTCTGTTCAAAACCTTTTACCATCAATCGAGCTTTGTGTCTGACCAGCTTGCCGTTTCTATCTTTCTTAAGCTTAAAGACTCACTTGCACTTGAGCGGTCTTTTGCCTTTTGGAAGTTCAACCAGTTTGTACGTATCATTCTTCTGTAAAGAATTCATCTCTTCTTGCATGGATTCCATCCACTGGATTTGTTCTGGATGAGATAGCACCTCCTTGAAATTCTCTGGCTCCCCTCGTAGTGACGAGGATATACTCTGAAGAAAGATAGCTTATGGACTCTACCTTCTCTCTTTCAGATCTTCTCAAAGGTTGTTGTCCTTCTTATTGTTGTTGCTCTCCTTCTTCCTTGGACTCGGGTACTTCCCCTGCTCAGCAACCTCTTCATCTACACCTTCCGTGTGCCATTCTTCATCTGTGGAAGGATTACGTACAAGTACAGTAGGAGTAGTAACAAAGTTAGTAAATGTACCATTATTATTTTTGGTCTTTGTTGATTGATCACTATCAATCCCGACCACATCTTCTCTGAAGATCACATCTCTGCTTCTGATGATCTTTTTCCTTTCTGGGTCCCACAATCTGTAGTTGAACTCTTCTTCTCCATAACCGATGAAGATGCAGGGAATAACTTTGTCATCAAGCTTCGTTCTCTGCTCCTTCGGCACATGTGCAAAAGCTTTACATCCAAACACTTTTAGATGGGAGTAGGACACCTCTTTGTTGGTCCAGACTTTTTCTGGAATGTCAAACTCCAATGGAACTGATGGACTTCTGTTAATCAAGTATCAAGCTGTGCGATCTGCTTCACCCCAAAATGACTTAGGTAGTTTTGCCATTTTGAGCATACTTCTCACTTTTTCGACAATGGTGCGATTTATCCTTTCAGCTACACCATTGTGTTGTGGGGTTCCAGGAACTGTCTTCTCATGTCTGATTCCATGGCTTGAGCAGTAGTATTCAAACTCCTTTGAAGTATACTCTCCTCCATTGTCTCTCTTGAGACGCTTTAATTTTTTACCTGTCTCCCTTTCCACCAGAGCATGGAATTTTTGAAATACTTGAAATACCTGGTCTTTGGTTCTCAAAAAATAAACCCACAATTTTCATGAAGCATCATCAATAAATGTGAGAAAATATTTGTTAATTCACATTGATTCTACATACATTGGACCACAAACATCAGAATATACTAAATCAAGTATATTCGATTTTCTTTCATGAGTTGCTTGAAACGATACCCTGTGTTGTTTTTCAAATAAACAATAATCACAAGAATTCACAGTTGTACCTTTTGCAAATGAGATGAGTGACTTTTTGGATAGGATTTGCAGTCCCTTCTCACTCATATGGCCCAATCTCCGGTGCCATAAATTTGCAGGCGTATCATCTACAACCGCATGTAATCCATCACGGTTGTTTTGTACAATGTGTAAGGAGCAACTCCTTTAGCAATCACCAATGATCCCTTGGTGAGTCTCCACTTTCTATTGGCGAAGTGATTCTCGTACCCGTCTCGATCTAGAGCGATCTCTGAAATCAAATTCATTCGTAGATTTGGTACGTGTATCACATCTTTTAAAACTAATGTGCATCCGACATTTGTCTTGATACAAATGTCGCCAATCCCCACAATCTTTGAGTGACTGGCATTTCCCATCTTGACCATTCCAAAGTCTCCTGCTTTGTACCTACAGAAGAATTCTCTTATAGGTGTGGCATGATAGGATGCTGATGTATCAACCACCCATTCTGACTCTTGGCTTGCTAAGTGCATGCATTCCTCCTCCTCGTGAATGAAGAGAACCACCGAATCATCATTGTCCACTGCAACAGCTGTGTTGTCATTATTCTTCTGGCCACTGCTCTCGCCTCGACCTTTCTTAGGGCAATCTCTTTTGAAGTGACCGGGTTGACCGCAATTGTAGCAATTTCTACCCTTTGACCGGTTCTTGGACTTTCCACGAGCTTTGGATTTATCACGGCTACTCGATGCTCTATAAAAACTTCTTCCTCTATTTTTCATGATAAGAGCCTACCCCTGATTTTCGGGCTTCTTCCTCATCTTATCATTGAGTAGGATGGCTGATGTGACCTCCTTTAAATTGATGGTATCTCTACCATGCAGGATGGTTGCTGCCAAATTATCATATGAAGATGGCAACGAGTTTAGAAGCATGATATTCTTATCTACTTCAATGATTGTTTCTCCAAGGTTTGCCAGTTGCGTGATTAATCCATTGAACATATTTAAATAGGACAAGAAATTTGTACCTTCACTCATATGGATTGCATAAAGTTGCTTTCTCAAAAATAACTTGTTTGTTAAAGATTTGGACATGTATAGACTTTCTAGTCGTTTCCAAATACCACATGCACTATTTTCATCCCCGACATTATTGAGTACTTCATCGGACAAGTGCAGTCTGATTGCACTAGCCGTCTTCTTATCCATGTCTGCACATTCCTTGTGTTTTATGGTTTCCGGCTTTGCCTCTTTTCTATCTAGTGTAATGTCCAACCCTTGTTGGATGAGCAGGTCCTTCATCCTTCTTTGCCATATGGAGAAACCGTCATTACCGTTGAATCTTGTTACTTCATACTTTACTCCTGACATTTTTTTTTATCACAAAGTAAAATTGACTGTAAATAATATTTCTGTGAATGAACAGAACCTGTGCTCTGATATCAGTTGTTGGGAAAATTAACCCCCATAGAAATAATATTCACGGTATACGACTGTAATAAATGCGGATTACTAAAATATTATAACCAACAGTAATAATAAGAGAAACAAGGACACCGAGATTTTTACGTGGAAAACCCTTCTGAATAAGGGAAAAACTATGGTCCTAGAGGAGCAACTGATTTTACTATAGCGAGAATTTTACAATTTGTGGTACCGAGTAAAATACTCCAAGACCACTAAACACTCAAAAGAAATAACCTTTTTTTGATTTTTTTACTTCACTACAATACCGCTCAAACTCTCTATATTTTTGCTCACAGAGTATTTTGCTTCTTACTCTGTAAATCACTCTCTTTCTCTTTGTTTTGGTGTGATTACAAATAAAGGTAGAGACACCTATTTATAGGTGAAGAATGCACATATTGATGTATGCAATGACATCAATATTCACTTCAAAAGCTAGTTGCCCAAATTGAACTTCTAACTTAGTTGGCTTGACAAAACCAAAAGGAAGCTTCATCTTCTTTCACATGGACCATGGGATGGACCCAATAGAAGGGTTGCAAGGAGGTGTGATGTAGACAACTTGTACTAATGGAAGCATCAACGACAAATTCAATAACTCGAACTCGTGACTTATAGGTCACATGAAGACGACGTTACGTTACTCTAAGGCTCCCCTTCGCTTAGTATATTTAACCTTCAATTAAATCAAATATATGATTTTAGTCCTTCAAACTAATTACTGCTAATTTTTCGTTTTGTAATTACGAAAATGACCATGAGAATTCCTATTTTTTGGTGATTGAGAAGCAAAAAAAAATCTAAAATTTAATACTAAAACAGCAAAACAAATAGATCGAATGGCTTAAGTTCTAATTGATGCCCAACAAGAAGCAAAGTATACCGCACATCGGAGGAATGCGGTAATTATGATCAGCTTGACAGAATAGGAAGACGAAGAAGTTATTAAATTTGTGTTTAAAACTGTATCTAATAGTATAATCGATTTTTTTTAATCCTTTTGTCAGCAATCAGAGTTGAATTTTAAAAATGCAATTCCTTAATTAAATTTTATATTTTATTCTTTAACAATTTCAAACTCACAAAAGAGGACGGAAAGTAATGAGCAAATTCCAAATAAAAACAATTGGTCAATTAGCTTTAGATATTAAAATTACACATTACGTATAACTGAAAGTTAAATGCGCTCAGTTGAATTATATCAATAAACATAATTTCAAAAACAATTCTCAAACTCAAAATCGATAAAATCAGGAATACCTATAACATTATTCAGTGAAAAAAATTTCATTAAAGAATATGGTTTGCCACAATTTCCCTCTTATTTCCTTATTCTAAACCTACATTTGAGCAAAATCCGGTGAAAAAGGCCTTATTCAATCTTCACTACTAGGATCAAGAGTCGCCACCACTCCCACTCCATAGCCTTGACCAGCTCCGCCACCAAAACCACTCCCGCCGTCTTCACCACCGCCTCCTCCGCCACCGCCACCACCTCCTCCATTGCTACCTGATCCACTACCCCAGCCAATTCCAAACCCCTGACCAGATCCACCATGCACACCTCCTCCTCCTCCACCACCGCCACCGCCGCCGCCGGCATTGCCTGAGCCACTAAAAAAGCCAGATCCACCTCCAATTCCCCAACCTGTTCCACCATCTGAACCTCCTCCTCCCCCGCCGCCGCCTCCACCTCCGCCGCCGGCAACATTTCCGATAATTTGGTCAATTCCGCCAAAGCCGAGGATGTTTCCGGATGGAAACTGTAGAAGCTTCCTTGCATATGTTGTTTGCATAAAAACACACACAATACATAAAAGAGCCAACCTGCTACTCATCTTTGCACTTGCCACTGCACCATAAATAACACAGCTCAGTTAGTACTGTTCAAAAAGTGCAAGAAATTCTTTAGAAAAAGAAATAAAATAAGTTCCTATGGCAAAATCACAATTTCATCTTATTGCAGTTACTGATGATGCGCAATAAGTTGGAGTCCGATATATAAATCATTTTTTTTTTTTGGGTTTAAACTCAACTCACACAATCCAAATAAAAATAAAATGTTTAAACACTATTTGATGATGTGCGCATTCCATTATATCTTGTCAAGTAGAAAACATTAACTGTAATAAACACTATAGTTACTACAGAAAGTAGAAAGATAAATGTAATTATGTTGCATTTAGCAGTAATATAAGGAACATTAACAACAAAGAAGAAAATGGCTTCTTACTTGGCTCTTCTCGTATAAGTGTTTTGCACTGAAATGACCTCTGAGAAGAGCTGTAAGCAATTGGATGAATAATTTGAGATGTTTAGGACGAGCTTAAATACTATAGAGTAGTGGTAACGTAACAGTATATGGTTAGGGATTGTTAATGAAAGTAATTAATATATCACATTTACAAAATGGAAACGCTAGAAGCATAGAACTGAATGTGATTAAGAAGACATACATACGTAATGGTAATTAATTGTGAAAGGAAAAACTTACATGTTCTATTAGACATTATGTTTTAGCTATAAATAAATTAAGTATGAATAATGGTTCAAATATTTCTTAATCTATTTCGTGTTACAAATATTAGAATAATATATGATGAATTAGAACCATCTCTATCAAGATGACCGACACATTCTCTGTATTAGGGTTGTACAAAGAAAATCGATAAATCGCACCAAACCAATAATCTGAGTCAAACAGGGAAAAAATCCGATTGTGATTTGGTATTAGAAAAAAAATTCAACCATAATTGGTTTGGTTTGGTTTGCTTTGGTTTTAACTCAAAAAAAGTCAAATCGAAATCAAACCAACTCGATAGCATATTTATACAATTTTTAAAAATATTTTATACATATACTTTTTATTCTAATATAATTTATAAATATTTTGTTATTAAAGTTTTTCACAATTTTATCTTTAACGTATTATTTCAAGTTTAGCCCATAAATGTAGTAACTCAAACAAAGTTCAAATTAATACTAATGCTAACAAAAGAAATTCAATTCAACACTAGGAAAGTAGGAATGATGATAGTGTTGGATATCTATTTTTTAGTTTTATATTGGTTTATAATAAAAATGCATAACTTAATTTATCTTTTTTTTAGTGCTTAATTACGTAATTAATAATACTTATTAGCTATACTTATTTTAGCATGACATATATAGTATTTTTAGATTTTGTTGATTTTCATTATGGCTTATTAATTAGCAATATTTGCTATATGCAATTTTATTATCTTTGTTATTGAATATTTTAGTATAAAGCTATGACTTATCTCATATTATTGTGTTATTTTCTTGGAAAATACATTATATAGCTGTATTACTAAAGAAATATTTAGAGCACAAGTTACATATTTTGTGCTATGAATACTTTACCTGGAAAAAAACTCGAAAACCCGAAGAGAACCGAAAAATTCGAGAAAATTCAAGATTGAAAAATCCGACTTTATTGGTTTGGTTTATAGATTTAAAAATTCGAACCAACCCGACCTATGTACACCCCTATTATGTACTATCAATAGGATGAATTATAACAGGTCACAAACTCATACTCCAGAAATACATAAACAAAAAAATTCCACGATTGAACTACCAAAAGAAAATAGAATGCACTAGAAATTGGAGCTCTAAATGATTCATTTTGGACTCAAAAGCAAGTACTTTGCGGTTTTTATAGATCTAATTCATTGAAATTCCATCCAATAAAACAGAAGAATTATAAATGTTCAAAATAATAGATAGAAATACCGCAAATAAGGCTATTGCGACACCCATCAAAGGAGTAGTAGCTCTCCACCCGGAGCTACTTTATCATATTTCGAATATAATGGTGTGACGATTCTTGCTAGTGGTTGTTTGGTTTATGGTTCAGTCATGTGAAGAAAAAATTATATTTGGTTTAGGGTTTCTTAAGTTTCCCCCCTCACTTTAATAACTGAAAATTTTCATTCCCCACTCCCTTTCTTTCTTTGAAATTGGAGAGTTTAATTTAACGGAGTAAAGGATTAGCTTATTTGATGAGCTTCTTAACTTGTTTACAGTTTTGAATATGATCTTGTAAATCCAAATTGTTATAGCTTGTTTGACCAAGCTGAAAAAATTAGTTTATTTTGAGAAGTGCTTTTTTCAAAAGTGCTTTTCGAAAAAATACTTTCGGAGAAAAACAGTTTGTGTTTGACTAATTAATTTGAAAAATACTTTTGAACAATAATTTGTGTTTGACCAAACTTTTCAAAAAGCGCTTTTAAGTGTCAAATTACAAATAAGGATATGAAGAGATTTATTTAATAGTTAATATTATATAAATAGATAAATAATTGTAAATATTTTATATTAAAGATAATAATTAAGCTTTTTTATTTTATTTATGTAAAATATAAAAATAAATTTGAAAAGAACTTTATTTTTTTAAGATAATTTAAATATATCAAAAAATCATTCAATAAATATGAAAGTTCATCCCATAAGTTATTTTATATTACTTAATAGTTTAAACTAAGTAAGGTTATTTTGGTATATACAATATTTTGCAAAGGGTATTTTTTGTAGGAAGAAAAGTCAAAACTGCTTTTGCTTCTGCTTTTGGGGAGAAACTACTTTTTTCTGCTTATTCAAAATTGATTCTGCTTCTAGCCAAAAGCATTTTCCCCCCAAAAAAGCTTGGTCAAACACCTCAAATTGAGGGAAAAAGCACCAGGGCTGGCTATAGGGTAATGCGTCTAAAGCAAATGCTTGAGGCCCCCAAATTTGGGGGGGGGGGGGTATTTTTTTAATACCAAAATAGGTTTATATGCTGTTTTAGGAAAATAATGAGTAGTTTTTACCTTAAAAATTAGATATTTTTTTATAAAAGGAAAGAATAGATGTCTAACTAATTGAAGTGAGCGTAATACTTTTTATAAATGTGAATTTCTTTCAAACTTTTTTTTGTATGAATAAAAAATCTAACAAGTGAAATTATTATATTTCACTTTTTACCCATTTTTTTATCAGAAAATATGTAGTACTAAATCATATTTTTACACTATTCATTTTTGTCACGACCCAATTTTCCCTCCGTGTGACGTCGTGACGGCACCTAGTCTCTACAACTAGGTAAGCCTAACACCTTGCGGAATAATGAAATAAAAATATAAATTTAACCAACTATTCAAAAAAAATACACAACAATCCCCAAAATCCGGAATATCGTGAATCACAAACTATAGAAGGAAAAGTCTAGTGTCTCTATACATCAAAATCTAACAAGGAAGATACAGAAAATAATGGACATGAGAAAGAGTAGAAGGGGACTCCGAGGTCTGCGGACGCGGTAGATGTACCTTAAAGTCTCCAAAGTTGTCCCGACTCACTGATAGTGCGGCTGATAAGGTGCACCTAGATCTGCACACACAAAAATAAATGTGCAGAGAGTAGCATGAGTACACCACAATGGTACCCAGTAAGTGCCAATCCTAACCTCAGTCGAGTAGTGACGAGGTCAGGTCAAGGCCCTACCGTAAAAAAATATAATAAATTAAACAGTAAAAGATATAAGTTAAATTTATAGTAATACAATTAAAGAAATTCTCGAAAATTTAACAGTTAAAGGAGCCCTCGACTCAGAACAAAGTAAGCACAATGGGAAATCTCCCGGGATGCCGTCCCGTAGTTACGAATAAAAATGCAGTACAGGGGATCTCCCGAAGTACGTCCGTAGTCCCAAAGTAAATATGTAGTGCTGGGGGATCTCCCGGAATACGTTTGTAGTCCCAATTTAAATATGCAATGCTGGAGGATCTCCCGGAATACGTCTGTAGTCCCAAAGTAAATATGCAGTACTGGGGGATCTCCCGGAATACGTCCGTAGTCCCAATTTAAATATGCAATGCAAGATACAATGACAGGTATGGCCTCGAATTATACAGTTTATACTAATCACAGATAAGGAAAATAGGGATTTAACTAAGCGTGGCGCACAAAATATCAATTAGGCAGTTAAAACACGTAAGCATGCTTTTCTAGTCTAAACTAAATAATTAAATATTATTAGTGCAATTCAATAAGAGAAACCATTTATGATTTAAAAAGGATAAACAAGATTTTTGCAATAATAGCATGTGTACGTAATCGTCACCTCACGTACACGGTGCCCACACACCAAATAACATCAAAATATCCTAAGGGGAAAGTTCCCAACACAAGGTTAGGCAAGCCACTTACCTCGAACCAACCTCAATCAATCGGTCACAATGCCTTTCCCACGAATATCCGGCTCCGAATGGCCCAAATCTAGCCAAAAGCAATTACATATCACAAATACAACCATAATAGACTCATCTAATTAATGAAATCAACACTTTAACAAAAATTATGAAATTAACTCAAAAATTGCATGTGGGGCCCACGTCTCGAAATCGGGTAAAAGTCACAAAATACGAACACTCATTCACTCACGAGTCTAACCATATAAAAATTACTCAAATTCGACAACAAATCCCCTTTCAAAACTCGAAATCTTTGTTAAAGAAGTTCTTCCAATTTTTTCCCAATTTCAACCCCAAATTCCAAAATTAAATGATGAAATCAACCATAGATTAGTGGAATATAACCATAAAAGAGTTAAGAATCGTTACCCAATCGATATCTCTGAAAATCCTTCAATACCTCGTCCAAAATCCGAGCTCCCAACTCAAGTTTTTTATTAAAAAAAAAATGGCAAAACCCCCGTTTTTGGAGACTTTAACATTGCCTAGTGATTCCTTAATCGCGATCGCGAAGAACAACTTTGCTGCCCCAGAAATTAACTATACGCGATCGCATAAAACACCACGCGAACGCGATGCTCTGGCTTCCATACTCACGCGATCGCGAACGTCCTCATGCGATCGCGATGAGCAAAACGCGTGGCCCAACTTTGGTCCACTTAACCCTACGCGAACGCGACCTTTACTATGCGTTCGCGAAGCACCATCTCACATCACTACGCGTTCGCATGCCCATGTCCGCGAACGCGAAGAATAATTCCATCTTCTGCCCAGCTAAGCCTACGCGATCGCGGATCACCCTACGCGATCGCGTATATGAAAACCAGAACTCAGACACCAGAAAACTTCAGCAACCTCCAAATTCCAAAAAACGATCCGTTGGGCGTCCGAAACTCCCCCGAGGCCCCCGGGACCTCAACCAAACATACCAACCAATCCTAAAACATCATACGAACTTAGTCGAATCCTCAAACCACATCAAACAACGCTAAAATTATAAATCATTCTCTGATTCAAAGTTAAAGAACTTAAAACTTTCAAATTCGACAACC